TCGTCGGTACAGCTGCTCAGATCCTCTCCAGGAGAGCACAGACGCTCTGGCTGTCCTTGACAGAAAAACCTGGGAGGGCCCCACACCCACACAAAATTCTACCTCTTGCAGGAGATGGCCTGATTTTGTCACTATTCAGATGATATTATTGAATGTTTTTCAAACGTAGATGCTCAGGATGCTGCTGCAGTAGGGGATAACTTTTTTCTGGTACTTTCTCTGCAGATCCTGTCTTTAGGTGCTGGCTTTGACTCCTTATACTTCCGTTTGAAAGACATGGGTCTTCTGCATCACTCTGTGTTCTATGAGGTGGATTTCCCAAATGTGGCTTGCCAAAAAGCTGCCCTGATCAAAAGAATGAAAGAGTTGTCAGCACTGGTGGGAGATACTGAAGGGGAAGGATCAGGTAGGATACTTTTGGAAGGTTTTTCTAGATACTAAATGTTTAGAGGCAGCAAACATAGCTTCAGCCTTTAAAAAGTGAGATATGATTGTAAAGGGACTACAAAGCTGTAGATGAAAATCATGTTCATTTTCTGAACAGTCATGGAACAAATCATTCCTAAGCATTGGGAGCTAACAAGAAGAAGAGGTATACAGCTGCTCAAAGTCAAGGGGGTGGTGGCTGGAAGTTACAACGAAGGAAATTCCAGTTATCCTGTCATGGATTTTTTTTTTTTTAATGCCATTTGAGTAGCTAAAAATGGGAACAGATTGCCCAGAAGGGTGGTGGAATCTCCAGCCTTGGGGATATTTAGAGCTTGACTGGACAAAGCCGTGAGCAACCTGATACAGGTAACTGCTCTGAGGAAGAGGTTGAACCAAATGACTTTCAAAGGCCTCTTTTAACCTAAATTATACTGTGATTTATGGGTAGGAGAGAAGATATAACTCTTTGGTGTCTTGACTAGTAAAATATTAATTACATTGCCTGATTCTTTTTCCCCCCTGCCCTCTCCAAGGCAGGAAAAAATGAGCCTTAGAAAGTACTGTAGGACATAAGCAGAGCTGACAGGGTTCTTACACCAGCCAAGTACTGAGGGGTAGTTCGGTGGCAAAATGGGGGAATGTAAAGTATGGGGTTCCCTAGAAGGTTTCTTCCGTGTCTGATTCCTTTTGAGGTTCCCACTAGTGCTTTAGAAGTTACAGCAGCAGGAAACAGGGAGAGTTGCAATACAGTGGATGACAGTAGGAGTTTGACAAGGTAGGTGACTGGTGTGGAACATGTGAAAAGAAAGACAAGAGGGACCTGTGTAAGCAGCTGCATTTAGTCTGCAATGATCAATTTAAATGGAGATGGGAGACAGCTGCAGACCTGGGTGCAGAGCATGAGTCCCTGGCTCCCATGAGCAGCTGAACAAACCTTGGTGAGTAGCTCTTGCATGGGCTTGTTCAGCTTCCTCTTGAATTCATTCACATTCTTAATACTGATAGCATCCTGTGGCACAGAATTCTGTACATACCAGTAATCTTTAAGTACCTCAAGTAAATGGCAGGTGTCAGAAGTTTGGGAATGCCTCGGTCTGTGTCCAGAGGACAGGCAGTGATGGATAGAATGACAGAGTCATAGAATCATTTTGGCTAGAAGAGACCTTTAAAGCCATTGAATCCAACTGTCCCCCAGCACTGCCAGGTCCCCACTGACCCTTGTCAGCACGACATCTCCACGGCTTGGAAACCCCTCCAGGGATGGGGACTCCACCATTGCCCTGGGCAGCCCTCAAGAGGAAGAAATTGTTCCTCAGGGCCAACCTCAACCTCCCTTGGCACAATAATTTGAGGCCATTTCCTCTTGTCCTGTCTCTTGTTCCTTGGGAGAAGAGCCCGACCCCCACCTGTCTCCAGCCTCCTTTCACAACTGGAGATGAGTTAGTTTTCAGAGGGACAGTGCAGGAAGATGATCGGACTGGTCACCTGGGTCCTTCCACCTACTATGTTTCTGGAGTCAGCTCACTCCCATCTACACACCCTATGCTGTGAGTGAATGTATTGACTTATTCCTCCCTCCAGTGCTCCAGCATGTTGGATCGTTGGTCTGTGATTTAAGGGAGGACTTTGGCTGATGGTTTGTCCTTCTTAGTTGGGCATGCAGTCAGCAGAAGTGGGGGTCTGCTACAGACCACCTGACCAGGAGGACCAAGTGGACAAGGCCCTTCATAGACAGATAGGAATTGCTGCTCGTTCACAAGCCCTGGTCGTCGTGGAGGACTTTAACCACTCCAATATCAGCTGGAGGGACAACACAGCAGGGCATAAACAATACAGGAGATTCCTGGAATTCATCAATGGTAACTTTCTCCTCCAAGCGATAGAGGAACCAGTGAGGAAAGGTGCCATGCTAGACCTTGTCCTCACCAACAGGGAGGGACTGGTGGGTGATGTCAAGCTCATGGGCAACCTTGGCTGTAGTGACCATGAGGTGGTGGAGTTTAAGATCCTAAGGTCATCAAAGAAGGGGGCTCTCCTCAAGCTTGAGACCCTGGACTTCAGAAGAGCCGTCTTTGCCCTCTTCAGGAACCTCGTTGGTAGAGTACCATGGGACAAAGTCCTGGAGGGATTTGGAGCCCAGGAAAGCTGGTTGACTTCCAAGGATCATCTCCTCCAACTCAAAGGCACTGCATCCCTAAAAAGAATAAATCAGGCAAAAATGCCTATATGATGAAAAAAAAAGGCCTATATGGATGAACAAGGAACTCCTGGCCAAAATCCAACACAAGAGGGAAATCCACAAAGGGTGGAAGCAAGGACAGGTAGCCTGGGATGATTCCAAAGAGATTGCTCACAAAACCAGGTTAGAAAAGGTAAAGCTCAGATGGAATCAGATCTGGCCAGGGACATTAAAAATAGCAAAAAAGGTTTCTACAGCTATACTGGAAAAAAAAGAAAAAGAGAGAATGTGGTGAGTCTCCAGGGGGATGCAGGTGACCTGGTTACTGAGGATAAGGAGAAGGCTCAAGTACTCGGTGACTTTTTTGCTTCTGTCTTCACTGATAACCACTTGAGCCACACCACCCAAGTCGCAGAGGGCGCTGGCTGCATCTGGGAGAGTGAAGAACCACCCAGGGTAGGAGCAGATCAGGTCTGGGAAGACCTAGAGAACCTGAAGGTGCACAGGTCCATGGGACCTGATGAGATACACCCATGGGTCCTGAAGGAGCTGGTGGCTGAAGTTGCTAGGCCACTAGCTATCATATTTCAGAAGTTATGGCAGACTAGCAAAGTTCCCACAGGTTGGAAAAGGCAAAACATAGCCCCCATTTTTAAAAAGGGAAGCAAAGGAAACCCAGAGAACTACAGATCAGTCAGCCTCACTGCTGTGCCAGGTAAAATCATGGAGCAGATCCTCCTGGCATCTGTACTAAGGCATAAGCAGATCCTTCTGGCACCTGTACTAGAGGTGATTGGTGACAGCCAACATGGCTTCACTATGGGCAAATTGTGCCTGACTGATTTGGTGGCTTTCTACAACAGTTACAGCTCTCGTAGTTATAGGAAGCGCAACTGATGTCATCTGCCTAGACTTGTACAAGGCATTTGACACTGTCCTGCATGACATCCTTGTCTGTAAGATGGAGAGACATGGACTTGATGGATGGACCACTCAGTGAATAAGGAACTGGCCAGAAGGTAGTATTCAAAGAGTTGGATCAACAGCTCAAAGTCCAGGTAGAGACCAGTGACAAGTGGAGTTCCTCAGGGGTCTGTTCTGCGTCCAGTGCTGTTTGACATCTTTGTCAGTGACATGGAGGGTGGCACTGAGTGCTCCCTCAGCAAGTTTGCCCATGACACGAAGCTGTGTGGTGTGGTGGACTCACTTGAGGGAAGGGAGACCATCCAGGGGGACCTTGACAGGCTTGAGAAATGGTCAATGCAAACTGTGTGAGGTTCAACAAGTGAAAGTGCAAGGTCCTGCACCTGGGTCACACCAGTCCCAGGCACAGTGACAAACTGGGTACAGAGCTGGTTGTGAGCAGCCCTGAAGAGCAGGACTTGGGGGTGTTCATTGATGAGAAGCTCAACACGAGCCGGCAGTGCGCTCGTGCAGCCCGGAAAGCTGACGGCATCCTGGAGTGCATCAAGAGGGGTGATTCTCCCCCTTTACTCTGCTCTTGTGAGACCCTTCCTTGGATGCTATGTCCTGTTCTGTTGTCCCCACCACTGAAGGGACCTAGATCTGTTGGAACGAGTCCAGAGGAGGCCACAAAGATGATCCAGGAGCTGGAGCATCTCTTCTATGAGGAAGCTGTGATTGTTCAGCCTGCAGAATAGAAGACTGGGAGGACCTTATAACTAACTGCCTTCCAATACCTGAAAAGAAGCTCCAGGACAGATGGAGAGGGACTTTTCACAAAGGTGTGCAGTAACAGGAAAAGGGGAAATGGTTTTAAACTGAAGGAGAGTAGGTTTAGACTAGATCTTAGGAAGAAGTTCTTCAGTATGAGGATGACAAGACTCTGGAATAGATTGCCCAGAGAGGTTGTGGATGCCTCTTCCCTGGAGGTGTTTAAGGCCTGGTTGGATGAGGCCTTGAACAACCTAGTCTACTTGAGAGGCAGAGAGTTTGGATTAGATGATCTCTAGGGTCCCTTCCAACCTAAACAATTCTGTTTAAAAAAACAAACAACCCCCAAAAAACCTGAATGGTTTTATGGTTGTGAGGCAAACCATTCAAAGCAATGGTGTGTTCTTAGCCTAAACTGAACAGTCTGTAAATGAGAGACCTGAAGATCTAAATCCTGAATTATGTGGTTCTACAAAAATGTTGTTAAAGTAGATATGATGAAGCTTTGTTGTTGTAGTAAATGTGATAATTCTGTGAGAAATCTGTAGGTGAATTTAGCATTAGGAATAATGGAGTTTTAGGTCTGCATTTATTGGATCGCTTTGTGACACTATCCCTTTATGGTTCATAGAATCGCAGAACAGTTTGAGCTGGAAAGGACCTTAAAGATCCTCTAGTTCCAACCTCCCACCGAGGGCAGGGACACTCCCATTAGAGCAGGTTGGTCAAAGCCCTGCCCAAGATGGCCTTGAATACTTGCAGGGATAGAACATCCACAGCTTCTCTGGGCAACCTGTTCCAAGCCTCATCACCCTGCCAGTGAAGAAATCCTTCCTTACATCTAATCTAAATCTCCCCTCTTCCAATTGAAAGCCATTGCCCCTTGTCCTGTAATCCTTGTAGTGATGGGGATTTTCTTGTACATGTCCCAGAGAAACTGAGCTGATGGGTGCAGATGTGTGAGTTATTGCCTGTGGGGTTGTTTGTCCCTTTTGGTCTCAGCATTGCATCAGGACTGTAGTGAGATTGTGCCATTTTTATCTCCCAGGAGTCATTGCCTTTTCTGGAGAGGATTATAAATTACTGGGAGTGGATTTATCAGAGCTGTCTGAGCTGGAGAGAGCACTGGAGGAAGCAGGGCTGGACAGTGTAATCCCTACCCTCTTCCTAGCAGAGGTGGTGCTCACCTACATGGAGAACAGCAGGTCGGTTGGGTTATCCTTTGTTGGCTGGGTGGCAGAATGAAAAGAACAACCTGCTTTGTGTGCACATCACCTGGGGCTCGGAGACCTGCTGTCTGATAAGTAAAGGCTCTGAAATTCTGTGGCAGTCACAGACGGCTCCATACATCACAGTTGTGATGGGGTAACTGATGTCCACATGACAACCTAAAAGGGAGGAGGAAAAAAAGAAGAGAAACCTCAAATGAGTTATTTTGAGTGTTTTGTTCTCATCTCCTGAATTCTCTGCACAGATGAGGGAGGAGACGTTTCTAAGTCCCTTCTCCTCTGTGTCACCTGTCAGGATGTGTTAACAGCAGCGTGCTTCATGGTGCTGCAGGAGGATGGATTGATTGCATCTGCCGTGCAGTAGACGAGCCCTCAGTTATTTACTTTCTTCTGCACAATCTGCTGGCAGGTCTGACGCCTTGATTGGGTGGGCAGCAGAGCATTTCTCACAGGCCTGCTTCCTGCTGTATGAGCAGATGTGCCCAGATGACCCCTTTGGCCGTGTGATGCAGCAGCATTTCAGGCAGCTGAACTCCACGCTTTGTTCCTTGGCACAGTACCCTGATGGCAAGGCACAGCAGAGGCGCTTTCTTGCACAGGTAGGTACCTGCAGTGCTGGGGCACACAGGAACCATGTTTTCCCTGGGAAAAACTGTAACCTTAAATCTGTCTGGAAGTCATAGGCCGTGTTGATGACAGGTCAGAGCAAACAGGGACGAGGCTGAGAGGCTGCCTTCTCTAGTAGTGTGAAGGTCCTAGTCATTCTCTAGTCATAGAATCACTATGGCTGGACAGGA